AATATATGATGTCAATTGGTACATCTGAGTCTAATTTCCTTTTAAATGTTAAGACTGATATATAATTTTTACCTTATAAATTAAAAGCCGTGCATAAAATATATAATGATAAATATCAATGAAATTAAAAATCACAACTTGGTTATATTTCAATACAAGTTGCTTGACTCATAACCTGTTGGTAATTGGTTGCTTTCAAGAAATTGTTTTCTAGTGCTTTTAATTGACTTCTTATGCCATGTGATAGCTAAGCACACATAGAGACCATTTAATTGAGTCATTTGTAGGGCATCTCTAATTTTATCTTCTTGTCATTTTAGTTTGCACACAATTCTTCTAAATATTCTTCTAAATAATATGTTGTGTACATAAATTTAAGCATAACATGATTCACTGACAAAATATTAAATTAATACCTTATGGTTTTACCATATGTCTTTTGAAAATATTGTTAAAAACGTATAACATCACCAAATAGGGTTTTATATATATATATATATATATATATATATTATATATATATATATATATATATATATATATATATAGTGACGATCACAAAATTTGAACTATTGAAATGTTATCAGGTGAGGGGGGAAGTTATTTCTAAAAACACGACTAGTAAGCCTATTTGTGGACATGAAGTTTTAGAAAATCCTTCATGAAACGGGAAATAATATAAGACATATGAATGTATTTAGGCCACACGGGGTATCTGGCTTGCATCCTCATGAGATGGTGACATGGTCTCGGGCCTTGCACGAGAACACTACGCCCCTTATGCGAGGTGCATGTATTCTAGTGGCACGGTGATGAAGGATGGCGTATGGAGATCCATTTCCAACATCTTTTTGAGCATCTTTTTCAAATTTGAATCTATTTATTAATATTATTTTTAATTATTCTATAATTACCAATACTTTTATCATTATTGAACATACTATTTTCATCTCTTTTCTCTATATACCATTATACTCTATTACAGGTAATTACCAGTACTATTACCTTATTTTGAACGGATCAAACAAGTTTACTGGTCAAATGTGTATGAAAAAAAACATGGTTACCTAAATATGGACAAAAAACCAAAGTTTCTTACCATAATCATAATGCAAAATGACTATGTCCACAAAATCATTACCAATATCTTTATAGTGAAGGAGTCTTTTAGCCAACTCTTTTGAGACTTCAAAACCAAACTTCTACTTATGAAAAGGAGGTAATCTATATGATGAGAAATAATAGAAGTCCATGATTTGTAGTTTGTTTTGTTTTACGAAGAATAAGCTCAGTATCATGCATTTTATGTGGCTGTGTGCTCGATTTCAATTGTCTCATAAACATTCACATTATGAAGCCGTGAAACACATTTTTCACTATACCGAGGCACTTGTTATTGATGATTTTAGTGTCACTGGCCATTTAATATAACTTGAACTAACACAAATATCAAATAGAATTTAAGTTATGATCTAATACAAGTCAAGAGGTGTGGAATACACATTTGTATAAGACAAGTTTGATCCGGAACACGACGAAAGATGTGGGTAGTGCCCCTTGCAGGGTTCAAAGGGCTAACCCCTAGCGTCGTAGGGTTTCAGGAAACACCCCAAAACCTTTATAGAAATCTGGACATGGAATTTCATGGAAAACATGCTCAAAATGAAGTAAAGCAAAAGAAAATGGGCAAGTTTGTCACTTCTCAAAACCAGACTAACTGATAGCCCAAGATGCTTAGGCAGCTTGGAGCCACGTTACCATTCTATTTAATTTGACATGAAGCGTGAGTTATCCGGACAATTTTTTTTAGAAAACCGTTTGTAAAGGTAGATTCCACAGTTTTCTTTAATCATATCCATATTTTAGATAAATGAGCACATATACGTATATTTCACTTACTTGGAACTCATTTACTAAATCTAATATTCCATACACTTTCCATAAATATACATATTGTTTTATACCTAAAACTTTTAAGTATTTATATATATTATCCCCCATTAAATTTCCCACTAACCAGATGTACGGGAGAAATATCAATACAAATAATGAACTTACAAGATCCATGAGATATCCATATTCTTGATTACAAAATCCTTGGTTCAAACCCTGCTTTCTAACACATAAAATATTAAATTATGGTATCCTAAGGGGTTCATCATGGAATTTAATGTTATGTAGATTTGAGGCTTGATGGATCCCTTCTTCGCCGAAAGCATATTATTGGATTTTGTGCTTTCTTTGGAAACTCCTTAGTCTTTTGGTTCTCGATGAAGCAATAATAAGTTTTTTTTTGTTAACAATGGAAGTAGAATATGTGGTGGCATGTCGGATGTGCATATACACTCTTTGGATGAAGCAAACTCTCTTATATCTTAATCCTTTTCAAAATAAAACTCTAATATGTTTCGATAAACCGATATCTGTTTGAGTAAAAATCTTATCTTGCACTCATGCATAAAGCATATAAACATAATACAACACTTCTTGCATAATCATGTTTCAAAGGATAACTTTGTGCTTGAAAAGGTTGATAAATATACTAAAAACCCTCAATAAAGAATCCTTTTGTAAATTAAGAATGAGACTTGACATGATTGAGCATAATACTTGAAAATTGAAATTTTCTTACATGAATGTGCTTAAATGTTGGGTGTTATTTCCTGCTCATGTTAAATATTTCATTTACTAGGAACTTTATATTGAGGGGAAACTTACTTCCCTAATTTTCCTTGATAAAAGGGAAAATAAGACCCACTATTTGCTTTTTAGTAAGTATGCTTTATCGGGATTTTGTTTGTGTGATTGATTAACTAGATTATGATCCACGTTAAACGCGTGGAACATATAAAAGAAATATATTTAAAGTTATAAAAAAACGACACAATAAAAAAAAAAGATAAAATAACATAAAAAAAATAATATCATAAAACAGAATAAAACATAAGTTGATGATTAAAACTATAAATAAAACAAAACAAAGTATTCAATCATAAACTAATATAAAATAGTAAATATCTTTATTAGAAAAAACAAACGGTTTTCGAAAGCAATTTGAAATATATATAATCACACATTTCTACTTGGCATAGTCATTATCTCAAATCTGAACAAAATGAAAAATACTTCATGAGAACGATGTCCCGGAACGACATACTCAATCGTATTTCCTTTAAATAAATAAAGAAGATTGTTTCGATAATTCCACCATTCATTTGCACCGACATTGTAATTACTAACATCTACTTTAACCCACCGATTCTGAATGAAAACCCAAATAGCCCACAAACGATCTCCACTTATAGAAAAATATCTCAATTTTCCGTCAAACTTGATAAGCCCCGATGCATACGAGTTGAAATCATTAATAATATAAGGTACAGATATCACTAAATATTCTTCCAATATACATCGAATCGCAAAATGTCATAGTTAGACAATAAAAAGTAAACCACACCTCCACTTATAATTGCATCATCTGAAACAAGATAAACAGAAGGTGGTAACTAGATATTACGAAGCTCCCTCCATTCTCGTATAGTAGAGGCAAACAATTCTAAGTGGAAGTAATCATAGTCCACCTGATCCTTAAGCAGATCACTACAATGAAAATAACATATCAGTAATAAAATAAATTAAAATAATATACCTAAATATAATATAGATAAAGTTTTATGATGACAGTGCGTATGATAATCAAATGATCTTGAAATGCAACAACTTCGAACTCATAAACTACCATAGCAAACTTTAACGCAACGTATTTAGAGATTGAAAATGACAACGATTTACAATATTTAATAGACGTTAAATGCTTGAGCACCCACATTAATGTATTTTTATATAGTCTAGAATGTATACCATCTTTATATATTAGTAGTTTATGTTTCTTCTGCAATTGTAAGAGTTTCTTGATCCAATATTCAGATTAAGATTTATGTGGGGGAATTTCAAAATTTTCGATAGATACACCGTTACTTTTAAAGAAAATGATCATAATAGCCATTTTTTTAAGTTTTTTTTTCCACAAAATAGCCAAAAATTCGAAAAATGACTAAAAAAACCATGATTTGTTTAGTTGGCCTTTAAATTTTAGCATATGGTAACTTGCGAAAATCTCATTTTTGTGTCAACTTCAAACATTTAGAACTCTTTTTTACGTGAATTCCGTTTAAGCTGATTATTTTTCATCGTGCTATTTGTAATGAGGGAAATCCATGGACATATTGAACTCCAAATTTTGATGACGGGAAGTCATAATTTTTTAGCTCCAAAAGTAGGTTACTCGGTGTAAAATATGAAAAAACTAAACTTGATCCTTAACAATTTTCGCATACAAACTCCGTTTTAGTTAAAAAAAAATTAATTGTGTTTTTTTTCATAATAAGGTCTATCCATTGACATATTACACTCATAATTTGAATGTCGGGAACTGGAAGTCATATATTTTTTTTGTTTCAAAATAAGATTATTTGGTGAAAATTATGAAAAAAATAATTTTCTCATACAAACTTCATAACAATCATTAGACCGTTAGGGTTCTCACAATCATAAGATGACCTGCAAAAATCTCAAAAAAAAAAAAAAAATCGCATGTCAGCTAGATATTTGAAAATGGTAAATTGTTAAAATTATGATTATTATGATTTTTTTAGTTATTTTATGGAAAAAATAATATTATGGTTATTTTCTATTAATTTTATAGTCTCATAACATTTAATTGTATGTTTTTGTGGAAGACGATTTATATAACCAAAGCATATTTTAGGAAATTTTCACAATCAATGATACTTTTTCTAGATCTTGATCATTTATTTCGTTTGACTAATGATTAATGACGAAGAAATTCAATTTTAGTAGTTGGGGAGGGTGAATCGTAGTTTTAGAAAGAACCAAGGACAAAACCGTCAAGATATTACAATGGAGCATGACGTGGTGATTAGTGAATACGAGCATAATCGCTGTATATATACAGCGATAAGCCTCATTCCTTCATCGATAGGCCACTCGATTGCGCGATTCTTTGCTTCGATTGTGTGCATCACTGATGATCAAAATTTTGTTTTTCCAATTGTAATAGTTCGCCAAAGTTTGGATTGACGAGACTCGTTTGATCTGTATATTTTGATTTTCCGCCAGGTATCCGAAACCCTACCTTTTTGTATTACATATGTATGTCTGTTTATGTTGTGGTTGAGATTCGAATGGTTATGGTATTAGATCGATTCAGTTGGTAGATCTGAAACGAAATAAAATGGAAGTTATTTGCTTCGAGAAACTGATGCTTGTCCGGTTCGAAGTGTTGGAATGAACAATGAACGAGTTTGGGACTGGTAATGGTTCTGTTTGAAGAAAGATCGGTGCTTCGGTTTTTATCTGTTTCAATTCCGTGTGCCTGAGACTTCATTGAGTGCCTTCGTTAAGATTTTGTTTTACTATATATCTGTTAATTTCTACGAGTTCATGACATAGACGTTACACCGAAGCTTTGCTGGATCTTCAATTACGTTCTCAGGGAGCCAAGTTGTGAAATTATATCTACTTGCTCAACTGGGATGTTCATTTACTCGTCTATCTTTACTAATGCTTTAGCATGATCTAGGTTCAGTAATTGTGGTATTTAATATCCTTAGATATTAGTTCAAAGGATTAAACCAAGTGGAAACAGTTACAGATTTACAGGGCAAAACAGCGTGCAGTGTTCTCCCTCTTGAGTATTTTATTCTTAGGGTTTTGTAATTCTTCTCAAGTGTAACTACTCTATTCTGCCCTGTATTGAATGCACTTTTTGACACTGTAATCCTTTTCCATGAATTGGGTTTAGAACAGTTGGTTATGTATAGAAGTTCCATGTTTTTCATGTTGAAGGATATGACTGCCTAACCAGCTTCTGTATACTCGATATATCTTCCCATTGGAACAATAAGATCCCACATCTAATAGTGTGGGACTTTGAAATTACCTAATATGAACCATTATAGCACTTTTTTGATGTTATGCCACATTTTGAAGGATGTTCTTTTCTTCTGGACTGCAGACTGGGCTACTTACTTGTTACTTGACTTGGAAAAAGGTCTCAAAGGGTTATAGGACTTCATAAAGGAGGCTGTGGAACTCAGATATATTTCACATAGCTGGTGGAGAACTACTACTCACCATGTCTTCAAAAGGGTTGGAAATGCCTGTTTCCGGATCTGACAAGGTGAAGCTCACCTAATCCAGTTAGTTCAGATGATGTCTTGTTAATGTTGATGTTTTTAGCTTAAAAACTTTACTTTCCAAAATTTCATAGTTTTCCTGTTTTCTTGAACTGCAGTTGGAAGTCCCTGTTCTTGGATGTCGCTTCAGTGAGAAGGCTGAACATTTACCAATTAAGAAAAGGAGATTTGTATTTAAAACTTCATCTCCACCTCATAACACTGCATCCTCAGATGTGCCTGAAAGTGCTGCAGCATGTCTTGATTCTTCAAATCAGGAGATCCAACCAAGACCAGCTGCAAGTTGCCCATCTGCTGAATCTTTGACAGTGGCTTCCCTGTGTCAAAATGGTAGTGTTGATAATAAAGTGCATGGAGAAAAGTTTGCAAAAACTAGTGACAATATTTGTGGCATATCTTTAGGCTCATATGGGACAAAGAGTCTTGAAGCTCGTGCCACTATAAAACTTGAACCAAACAGTGTGAACTTGCCCAATATTTCTGTTAAAGAAACCGGATTACATACATCAACAGTTCCACTTAAAGATGGTGATTGTTCATCTCCAGACAAGGCCAGAGTGGATAATTCCACCCTAGACAATCAGGTAACAAGTCAGGGGCAGAAGTCTGCTGTTTGTGATGAGAGATTAAACTGGGACTTGAATACTGTAATGGCATGGGAAGAATCACCAGAATGTGACCACAACATACACACAACATATCCTGAGGGAAACAACACCTGTAAGGAAGGAAATTCTAAAGTTTGTAAGCAAGAACAGGTATCTGGAAGTGCATCTGAAAACTTAGGCAATAAAAGTTTAGCTAACTTGAGAAGTTCACCTCATACAATTCATGAAAAAGAACCAGAAGAACGCAAACCAAACAGTAAAAATATCAACAAACTGTTGTTTCCTGTTATTCCCAGTGCTCCTCCTCATGCACCAGTCAACAATATAAAATCCTTGCACGCTCAAAATCTTGATATTTCCAATAATGCTGTTCCTAGTATTGTCAAAGTGGAGCATCCAACATGTGACATTTCCAAAAATCACAAGAATGGTAATGATTTGGTATTTCCTATGACTGTTAACACAGGCTTTTCATTGGACTATTCTGTACCCCTGGGTTTTAATCCTTCCATAAACACACGTCCCTTGGAAGAAGAAAATGTTGTTTCAGGGAGTAATGTGAATCATGCTATTACTACTCCACTACAAACAACCGAGAATGAGAATCTTAATTTATCACTTGTCACTGTGGCCTCTCTAGAAAATGAAGTTCATCAAAGTGGAACTAGTTTTGAAGAAGATGATAAAACTAAGGTCAAAAGATTAATTACTAGCAATTGCATGACCATGGAGAATTTGATTGACAAAGGGAGTCCAAGGACTCCCCAAGATGCTTACAAAGCAATAAACCAGTCTACCATTGGTTCACTTTTTGCCATACAATCATCAGTGTTACCAGAAGGTGAAGAAGATCAACCTTGTTCTGATGCTCTTCAAGTCAAACCTGAAAAGTCAGCATCAACTCCACCATCTGTAAGTCATAATAACAAAGAAGCATGCCAAGTGGGTGTGGACAATGGTATTGAGAATTTTCCTAGTGACATTCAAGGAAGTGAGGTTGATAATGTAGAGGAATTGTCAGTTGGATATGATTCTCAATTTGAAGATGGAGAAGTGAGAGGGGAATCAAGCATACAGACATGGGAAGGATCCGGATCCGAGGGCGACAATAGAGAAAACGAACATGAACACAATTCCCAATGTGTAGCACCAGAAAGCTCTTCAAGAATAAGATCCAACACTGATATGGCCTCCTCTCAAAAGGGAACCGATGAAATTTCCATTTCCAGTGTAGTTTTGGCTGAACAAGTATCTAATTCTACTGAACCAAACGAGACAAATACAAGAGAAGTTAGCATGAAGGATGAAAGTGAATCAGATCAATGGAAGATGAATGTATCAGGATCTGAGGATTACAATGTTGCCAGGATGAAAGACTTGCCAAGTATAAAGTTGTATAATAAAAGAGAAACACCAACAACAACAGCACGTGATGTGTTTATTAACAGGGGTAGTAGATTCCGGATGCAAGGCCACTACAGGTACTACTACTACTACTGCATATCAAGAACCAAATAATCTAATCTTAACTTTTCAAAAAAAAAAAATTAATATTTTTCTTCCATTCTATGTGCACAGTTCAAACAATGGAGGTGATGATTCGGCTTCAAGATCTAGAGAAGCAGGGTTAGTAAGATCATCATCCTTTAGACGTGGTAATAACAGAAAATACTCTCCGCATGTCCGTGCTGGTAACCGTGGAGGTGCGACATGGAATCGTTCCCCAGGAAGAGACAACAGGGAACCACCTTTGCCTTTCTTCCGCGATGTCGAGACTCTGACAAACGAAGTCTGTTTGGATCAAAATCAAAACGATGATGTCATCATCCGACCCGGTGCTCCGTATCGTCAATCTTTCAGAACCAGATTAGTAGGAAACCGAGAGGAAGACGATTTCCGTGCGCGTTTGGGATTACGTCCAGCTGGCGACACACGCTTTGTGGGCCGGGGAAGATCTTTGAGATATAATCCGAGAGGTGTGGGCCCCAGGGTACGTTACAGTGGACCTGCAAACGATGGATACAATGAACAGTTGGAATATTCACATAGTTTTAAAAGGCGGTGCTATTCTCCAACAGAAAGGAGAGAGAATCAGAATCAGCCGTGTGTGCATCACCATTCTGGCTCTACATCTCCTCCAAGATCATGTACTCGTAGTAGATCGCCTAGAATTCGAAGGCCGAGATCTCCCAATTTCCGTTTTGAAGGAGTAGATGGAGGATATAATAATAATCATGATAACAACTTGTCTCCGGGTAGTACTAATACCAGATGGGTGAAATACAAACAACGAACTACTGTTTTTAACAGATCACCTCCTCCACCAATTGGGGAGAGGTTAAGTTTTTATGATTCTTCAAGAAAAACAAAAGAGAATGAGAATTACAGATCTGGGCATCCTGGAAGATTTTCTGATGTGATGGATCATCATCATGGGTATAGGCGGGGTGGGTTTGTTAAACGGAATGAAATGGGTAGGCCTTTGAAACATAATAATGAGTATGATGAGGAAGATGGTTATGGTCCAGTGGAAGGTATGGACTTCCATGGGAGAGGAAACCCTAAACCTTATACTAATGGGACTGACACTAGGTTTCGTGACCTTCCAAGAAGGGCTAGAGAAGAGAGAGAGAATTGGTGAGAGGTAACCAAACATCACAGGTCACCACCAATCATCACCCAATGAGAGAGAGAGAGAGAGAGAGAGAGAGAGAGAGAGGGTTAAGAGAGAATGATGACGTATCCATCAATGGATGGAAGCTTCTAGAAGAGAGAACAGATGAGTGATAGAGGTGTGGTTTACAAAAAGTGATGGAGCTTTGAAAGGTTGTCTATACTCTATATATATAGAAGAGACTATTTCGATTATGTTTTGTGAATTGGTCTCTCTCCCTTGACAAAGTTGAGACAGAAAGTTAGAAATGTTGCTAAAGTTCATCACTGATATATGATCCACTTAGGGTGCTTTTATGGGGGTTCTTAATGGGTTGTAACTAAGGCGTGTTTTCTTGTTTAAGTGCTGTATGGATAAATGATATATACGAAGGTGATAAGTTTTCTTGTTAAGTGTTGGATGGATAGAGAAGTTAGAACTTAAAAGGATACATCGTTAACGCATCTCAAAAGTCAAATCCATTCTCAAAACCCTTTTTTACATTGAATTTGATGTTAAATCATTCCAAGCCAAAATCAATTCATTGGTAAAACACTATATTGTTGGTGTTAAACTTATTGCTGTAAGATTTAGGGGGTGTTTGGGACTGTTTTTTTCAAGATACTAAAAAACTCGTTATCGCTTCAATGTCGCATTTTAACAAAATGTTGTTTTAAGTTAGATATGTCGATAAAAATGAATAATAATAGA